CGTATGGCTGGGGGTGTCTGCACCGGGGCAGCCGTGTGGCTGGGGTGTCTGCACCGGGGCAGCCGTGTGGCTGGGGGTGTCTGCACCGGGGCAGCCGTGTGGCTGGGGGTGTCTGCACTGGGGCAGCCGTGTGGCTGGGGTGTCTGCACCGGGGCAGCAGTGTGGCTGGGAGTGTCTGCACCATGGCAGCAGTGTGGCTGGGGGTGTCTGCAATGGGGCAGCAGTGTGGCTGGCTGAGAGGATGTGGCCCCTGGTTTGAAAGGCTGGGTGGGGCCTGAATTTAGGAGGGCTAATCTGGTGCCTCTCGTACATCACAGATGGAGATGGGGTGGGGGACTCCTTTGCACCACCAGCAGGCTAAGGAGGGTGGTGGTATGGAGTGCTCCTCACAGGGATCTGATGGCCCCAGCATGTCCTTCTGCCTCCCTGACAGATTGTCACTCGTGTGGGTTGGACTGGAAGCTGAGCTCTGCGATTAAACCCATCAGAGAGTCTGTTCTCAATGGCAGGTTTTTTCTGTTTTGCTCCCTTGGTCTAGATTTCCCCTGGGACAGCTCTGACGGGCCGCTGCGTGCCTGGTAAATTAAATGTTAAAAAAATACCCACAATGACTTTAATCAATCCACTGAGATGGCGGATGGCCTCCTCCCAGAAGCCCTTGGTCCACTGGAGGGAGCCTCCCCCACCCTCAAGGCTTAGGGGCCTGGAAAAAACAGAATGTGGGGAGAGGAGGGCAGGACAGTCCTCCCCAGGCCTGGTTAGAAGGGGGGAGGTCCCCAGAGTGTCTTCCCGGAGAAGACTCTGCACCCCCTTCATAACTCGTCCTGATCTGAGGTCAGGGAGGCTGAGGGGGAGGGAGGTGGACAGCCCTGTCCAAGGTAGATAGTGTTTATGAGTCTGTGGAGACAAATGAATGAAAGCCTGGGCTCTCCAGGCTAGGACCTGGTAAGCAGAAGGCTCTTCCTGTCCATGGTGGAGCTGAGGGCAGGAGAGTCCATGTTCCTTCCCAGGGGAGGTTAGAGAAATGCACAGAGCGGGCACAGAGGACACCTCAGCCAGCTCCTTGGGTGCTCACGGTCCTCCAGGGAGGCTCATTCCGCCATTGCCCTCTCCACTTCCTGGTGCTGCCCAAGGCTCATCACCTCCCTGGCAGCGTGGGAAACACCTTCTAACTCTTGAAGGCCTTCCTGGGTCTCTGTGATTTAGGCGACTCTCTCTCTCTGCTTCCTCCTTCCCCCAGCCAGGCGTCCCACCGCCTGCACTAGAGGCAGGCGGGATCTTGGCTTGACTTTGTGTCCTGGCAGAGCCCTCTCCCTCTCTCCCCTGCCCCTGCACCTGACTGATTCTGGACCCGACCCTGGGTTCTGGTCATGCTGAGAGGCCAGCAGGAATCCTTCACCCTGCAGGAATCGGAACTGCTGGAGGTGTGGGGATCAGGAGTAGGGTAGGCAAGTGGCATCCGCAGAACCGAGGCCCTGAAGTGAAGGCACAGATACTGCAGGTCTCACTGCACTCCCTCTTGGCGGTCCATAGGCCAAGGTGGGGACATCGGATTAGAGGTATAGGAAGCGGCCCTGGAACTTGGGCGGGTTGGAGAGTACAGGCCACTGGGTTCTCTAAGCGTCTCCATGAATAGAGACTCCGAGGTTGGGGTCCCCAGGACAGACTGGAGGGGCAAGAAGCTGCGATTTTGGCAGCAGGCAGAGGTTTCGAAGAGCCCTGCTGCCCTCTCCCTGCGCTCCCCTGCCAGAATACTCGGCAGGAGGCGCCAACGTCTGGGGACACGCGAGGAAGGTGAGTGCGGACCGAGATCCTACTATGGACCCCCCGCGGCCCCCTTCCACTTCCAGTCGGCGCGTCCGGGTGTCTGGCTCGCCGCGCGGGCGGAGGGGGCGCTGTCGGTGCAGGCGGGCGGGGCCGGAGCGCGGGGGCGCGCGGCGCGGAGCGAGCGCAGGGCCGGGGGAGCCGGCCGCCGAGGACTGGGGGCCTGGCAGGCGGTCCTGCACTGTGCGGGGCGCGGCGGCGGCGGGCACGCGGCCAGGGAGCGCGCAAGCGGGGCGGCGACGGCGGCAGGAGGCTCTCGGGGCAGGTCCCCGCGCTCCGCTCTTCCATGGCGCTGCCCCGGCCGCCCGAGCCGCCCCGCGGCGCACCCCGCAAGACTCCCAGCCTACTGGAGATGGGGGCGCTCTACCTGGACTCCGAGATCATCCTGGGCTTCACCAGCCACCTCCTGCGGCGGCGAGGAAAGGTGAGGGCTGGTGGAGTCGGGCTGGCGGCGGAGGCGCTGTCCCGCGACTTTGCGGGTGCGGTTCTCGCGGCTCAGGGTACCGAGCCAGGAAACCGGCAGCAGGTCCTGAGCCGAGTCCCGCAGTCCAGGCTGGGGACTCGCTGCAGCACTTTCCTCCATTAGTGCTGGCCCATCTCACAGACCGCTGCGTGAGAACGCAGCGCTGGGACTCCAGGTCCCACCTTGAGCCTTGCTCGGATGGGAGGATGAGGGAGGGTTCAGGCATCTCTTGGCTGATCCGGATCCCCTGAGGTGACTACAGCTCCTTCGTGTACCTCTGAGTTCTGCCGGGTTGTGTCTTGGTCCCCTCGGGGGACCCGGGTGTAGGGTGTGAACTCGTGCTTCCCGAAGCGCCACAGCGGTGGGAGAACGGAGTTGCGGGTGTGGTTGGCCATCGGCGCAGGTTCAGGCTCCTGGTGGCTGCGTGTTTCTGGGGGTGCGTGCAGGGGGACATAGAGGGTGTGTGTCCCAGAGCAGTTGAGCAGCGAGGGCAGTGCTGTCTGCTGGCAATTCGGGTGGCGGCGGGGTGGATGGGGTTGGTGTTCGGGGGTATCCACACCCAGATGTGTTTTCTTTCACGAGGCTGCGCGCGATGACATGGGTAGGGGAAGGGCTTCTGCACCCTGGGACGGGTAGAAGGGGGCTGGAGGCTTTGGGATTGCAGAGTGAAAGTGGGGAACCCTTGCTGACTTTATTCCTCACCCTCCTCCACGTTTTCGAATCCTTCAGGTCGTAAACGACCTGGAAAACTAATAAGAAACCATCCACCCCACTTTCTTGGGGAGTGCGTATGGGCAGGGAAGGCTGTCCAAGCAAAACGGGGGGCGTGCAAAGCATAAAGAGTCTCTTCCATCGATCGCGTCTGTGCCAAGGTATTATGGTACGTGTGGGGAGCCAGCGGGCCCCTGCCCTGGCTGGGCGACTCCAGGCCTCCGGGGGTGCTTTGGCTCTGGGACGCTCTGCACGGGGTTTCTCCTGAGTCTCGGAGCCCTGTGTGCGCAGCGGCCTGCAGGGGGCGCTGGCGTCACGGTGAGGCGGCCGCCGCGCCCAAGGAGCTTGACCCGAGGTTCGGGCTGACCCGGAGCGCGGCCCTGGAGCCGCCTGCGGCCGCGTGCTGCGGCGACATTTGGGGCCTGGCTGGGGCGGGAGCAACTGGTCGCTGGGGAAGAGGGGCGACCTCCCAGTCGGAGACAAACAGGCAATTAATTCCAGAGCTAAGTTCCCATCTGTTAGGCCTGCTGACAACAGGTCGCGCGCACACCCGCAGGGCCAGCCGCACCACGTCCTACAGCTTCCCAGAGGCACGGCGCGCCCACCCCTTTCGGGAACACGCGCGGCTGCAAAGACAGGTGCCGTTCGCAGACACGCCAAGACACAGATACACCATACAGGCACTGCGCGTCCCGAGGCGCAGACCTCAGCGACACTCACCCACGAGCGACAGTTAGACCCAAAGTGTGGTCAGAGAAGCACAGTGCGCTGGATTTACTGGCCAAAGTGACTGGGAGTCTGGGGGCCGGGGTCCAGCCTCTTTCTCATCCCATCTTTTTGTGTAACTTGGCTAAGACCTTTCCCTCTGCTGCCTCAGTTTTCCCGCCTGTAAAGTGAAGAGGGGGACGTTCTTTCCCTGGAGACTCACAAACCCAGAGTCCCAGTAGAGGAGGAGGAGGCGCATGCGCGTGCTAACTTGTGTCTCCCCGCGGCCTCCTGCGTCCCTCCTGAGAGCAGAGACTCACCTAACAGGTTGGGGTCCTTGGAATGGGCGGGGCGGCACGGGAAGCAGGGCCTCCCAGCCCCATCACCGCTGGGCACTAGGCCAGGGCGGGGCGGCCCTCTTGGCCGTGGTCCCTCACCGCCCACTCTGGAGCCCCGCCCCCTCCCCGCCCCGACCCCCGCCCCTCCCCGGTCCTCTCCTCTGGAGCGCTCTCGCCGCGGCCACCGCGAGCTCTCCGCCGCTCACAGGCGCCACGAACTTCCAAGCGGCGAGCCGGGCCATGGGGGCGCCCCTGGGCCGGATCACGTAGCCGCGGCGCCCAGGAGAGCCAGCGCAGTCCCGGAGCGCGCACCAGACCCTTCCTGCGCCCGGGCCATGGGCGGCCGCGGCACCCCACTGTGTGCAGCGCAGCCCGCGGTACGCGTGGCGGGGCCTGGAGAGGGATGTGGGCGGCGTGGGCCCGGCGGGCACTCCCCAGGACAGAACTCGGGACACGAAGATACTCGAAGGGTGCGCGGGGCGCCTGGTTGCCGGGCCTTGAGCAGAGCAAGGCGGGGTATCGGGCCTTCTGAGGCCGGGGGTGGGGGTTGGGGGAACCTGCGCTTGGGACCTCCAGTGGTGGAGTGATGAGGCGATCACCAGGTTCGCTCCCAGTGCTCTTTCTTAACTTTGGTGAGAGCTTCACTCTGGGGCTTGGTGCGCCGAGGTCTGTAGTCTCGAGGCGGCCTGGGCTCACTGCCCCCTTCTGCCTCACTCCCCGCAGGTGGCCGAAGGCAGCCTGGCCCACGATCAGCTGCCGCTGTTGGAGGTGCCCCCCCTCAAGAGGCTGCCCGCCGGGCCCGACCAGGACCCATGTGGCAGCCGCCCTGCGCCCGAGGGCGCTGGCGCTGGCTCAGAGCAAGGCCACTCCGCCGCTGGAAGCGGATGGTGCCGCCACTGCCACACGAAGCTCGTGGAGCTCAAGCGACAGGCGTGGAAGCTGGTCAGCGGGCCTGGGACTCCCCTCCGGGTAAGTGACCCTTTCTCAGGTTAGGCCCTCCAGCCAGGGTAAGGCTGGAACTTGTGAGACTTCAGGGCTTATCAGGAGGCAGGGTTCCACTCCTGCCCTGCTGTGGACCTCAGTTTCTCTGTCTATGACACAGTGTGTGAGACTTGGGCAGCTCACGCTAAGGGGGTTCTGCTGACGGTGAGGCTGGGATAGCTGGTGTTTCTTCCCTGGTGCAGAGGTCCCACAGCTGGAGGTACACATCTGTGTTTGGGAGGTGGAAGGGGAGAGTGGCATGGTAGGGACTCCACCCAGGGTGGAGCAGCTCCTGCCCTGCCTGCTGCAAGAGGTTATGTGGTGTGTTGCCACCCTTGGGGCACCTGGGCTCCCAGCCAGGTGTCTGGAAATGGCACACCTGGAGCGGAAGGACATGAGGGTGGCTGCCCACCAGCAGCTGGGTGGGGGAGTATTTTTCCTTGCCCCTCTGCCATCATTGGTAAGAGCTATTGTCCCACACATCCTGGGACCACCACGGGCAGTGGCCATACATCTAGGAGCTGAGTTGCTGGGCCACTGACTCCCCAGGCCCCACCACAGCTGGCAGGTACCAGGGAGAAACCTCTACCGTGGCTGGGAGTGGGGGTTGGGGGAACCTGTGCTCGGGACCTCCAGTGATGGCAGGATGAACGAGAGACCTCTACTGTGTTTTTGAGCCAGTGGGCTTGCCCTGGTCTTGGAAAGAGCAGGGACCATTGTTTCAGGGAACAATGTGCCCTGGAAGTTCGCAAGGCTGGGGAGGTGGGGGGTCTCCAGAGGAAGCTCAGCCACCTGACCTAAGTCTTTCTTAGAGTTTCTGGGAAGTCTAGGGTCCCACCAAATCTAAATATACTCCTCCAGGGAGGGCTGTGTGGGTCAGGGGTGGGGTGAGACCGTGGGTTCCCTGTCTGGCAGGGTGTGAGTCTGGTCTCTGTCTCAGGCACCATCCCTAGGCCCTGGGCAGTGTTTCTTGATGGCCTGGGAGGGTACCTGTGGGCCTGTCCAGGGATGGGGCTGGCCTCCGGGCAGTTACTGCCAGGCAGCCTGTAGTCCTTGCCAAACTCTGCCCAGACAGCCTGTATCTAGTTTGAGGGCTCCCAGGAGAGGATGACTTGGGCAGGACACCTGAGGGCCATCTTGTTATCCCATTACAGGCAACAGCTCAGAGGCAGGAGAGGTGTTTGTGACTGAGTTGGTCTGCCCACCTTGGAGGGGCCCTTGCCCAGTGATGCTGCCCAGCCTCCAGGCTGCAGTCGTAGCCTGGACCAGCTTAGGGCATGGGGCTGGCTAGTGGGGGAGGGCTGGTCCCAGTAGAGAGAGCTGTGGGCCATACAGTCCCTGGTGGATTCGAGGCTTCTCATCCAGAATGGTCTCAGTGGCCTCTTCTGTAGACGGCCCATCAGGGAAGCCCCCAACAACCCATCTCTGGCCTCTGTTGAGTTTGATCTTTGATACTGGGTCTTCCCTGCGAGTGCTTGGTGGGGGCTCACCCCTTCCCTGGCTAGTCATATGCCTAATAGCCTGGGGCTGTGGGCCAAGGCTATATTCTGCTTGGATACTTCCTCTCCTTCTGTCTATCTTCCCCTTTGTCAGATGTGGGTGGCCATTCTGAGGGTGCTGTGGTGAGGGAGGGAAGGCCCTGTGGTCCATTGTTTCTGCAGAGAGGATGGAAAGCCACAGGGCATGGGGGCTGCCCCTAAGTGCCTGGGACCTTGCTGGGTGCCATTGTCCTCTTCCCAGGACCCGGGCTGCAGCCCTTGCCTGAAAGCTTCCTTCAGGGAAGGGAGGAGGGGGCAGCTGAGAGGGCCCATGTCCCTGCCTGGCTTTCGGGTGGGCCGGAGATAGCTGTGGTGGCCCAGGAGCGTTGTGTGTCACTGGCTGTGGGTGAGTTCCCAGCAGGTGTACCTGAGATTCCTGTCCAAGGGCTCTGGGCTCTGCTTTCTAAGGCCAGTTAATGCTGGGATTTTAGATTTGGTGTCTGTTTCTTATATTTTATCACGGGGAACTGAGCTTTCTGGAGGACAGTGCTTTACAGTTTACAGAGGACTTTACCTGCATCTGCCTGGCTCTTGCCTAGATCTTTGGAGGCCCAGAGAAGCGGGATGGCTTGTTGGGCTCCTGAAGCTGAGCAGGCCCTGCATGGCTGTTAGAGGCCCTGGCCTCAAGGCCCCCTACCTGTCTCAGCTTGGAAGGTGTAGGGCCAGTTTGTGGGGTTCCCTTGAACTTGTTGCTCCTTAAACCAGCCACACTCTGGCCCCAGGGTCCCTGCCAGGGCTTGTCCCCAGCTGGCCCTTTGCCTTCTGAGCCAGCAGCCAGCTCCCACTGTGGGGCCTTGGGGAGGCTCCCTGGGAGCTCTTGGCCTCTGTTTGCTCCTCTGTAACATTCAACCAACTGTGTACCCATTTTCCAAGTATATGGATAGTGCCAGGATGGGGTGCACTGGCATACCTCAGCTACTGCTGATGGTGATGGAGTTGGGTGCCGGGGTGCTTGGGTACCCCTGGGGTACTGGACCAGCAATCAGAGCCCCGTTGGCTACCATGTGTACTTGTCTCCCTGAACCTGCTTCAGTTTCCTTGACGGGGCAGTGAGGGGAGACCATGGCCCCCCATTCAGGGACCCCATCCCTGTGCCCTCTACCCCTTTCTGAGCCTGAGCTTCCCATCTGGGGGTGTAGGGGAGGGATGTTCTCTTCCTTCCAGGTTAGGGCCCTGAGGATTGTCTTTCCTGATCTGAGAAAGACCCCCTAACTCTAACCCTAGGTATTTGGGCCTGAGTGCAGAGGGGAACCCCAAGGTTAGGGCCTCTGGGCCATGGGCCCTTTGCCCCACACTATGCCCCTCACACCATGCCCCCTCTTTGCTCTCACAACATCCCTATACCTCATCTTCCTGGTGACTCTTCAGGACTCTATGTGACCTGGAGCCACGCCCTGTGGACTGGCCTCCTCATCCCCAGAGCTCAGCTCCCCAGGCAGGAGGCCCTGCAGCTTCCCTGCTCTGGCCCCTGTGTCCCCTTCCCAGGTGCTCTGGCTTTGTATTGTCCCTGGGTGGGCTCACAGCCCAGCAGGACAGTTAGGTTCTTCATCTTTCTGCCATACTTGAGGCCCCCACATCCATCCTTGCCCTGTGTCCTCCCACCGTGGTGGACTGGTTATGAGTTCCAGCAGACCTCCTTCTGTACCCCCTGCCCCAGGCCAGGGTGTTGCTCCTGGGCAGCAGCTGTGCCAGGTCAGCCATGGGGTCCAGGTCACCTGGAAATGTTTGTTGAATGTGAGTGACCAGTCTGTCCTTCCATGCTCCACTGGCTGGGGATTACCCCAAGAGCTGCTGGGGTCCCTGCTCCCCAAAGTGACAGCCCCCATGGAAAAAAGACACCTCCCCATCCCCACAAAGAACCTTTCTCTGCTGCAAGGCAGGGTACAACCTGCTTGGGGATCCATTCCAGCTGCTGCCCGGATGCATCACATGGAGCGATGACTCCTCTAGAGACCCTGTGACTCCGAGTGTTGATATTGGGGCTGAATTGACTGTTGCCCCTGCAGAGAAAGTGGTCTACTCCCATTGAACTCTTGCAGATTCTGTGCTCATGCAGGCTGAGCTCACCCCCACTGCCTCCTAAGAGCTCCCGGACCACTCCCAGCTGCTCCCGTTTACCCGTGGGGTGCCAGTCCAAGCAGCGGGCCTGGCCCATGAGGCTTTGGCTCTGGCTCTTATCCTTGTGCACAGCTCAGGATGCTGTGCCCTGGCTTGGCTCCCCCATATGCAGGGAGCTGGCTGTCATAGGTTGGGAGCCTGGAGGCCTCTGCCTTTCTCCATGGCCAGGTAAGCACCTGTTTTTCCTGAGAGGCTGCTCATGGGTGCATCTGTGTTTGACAGGGATGTGGGTGGGGATGCTATCTGTTTAGCTCTGATTACATCAAAATTTTGGGGTCCTGGTCTATCACCTTCAAATTGACTATGTTCCTGGGAGGGTGGGGGCTCGGCCTGACTCATCTGATGGTGGAAATTTGCTACTTGGTGTCAGAGTCCCTAGACCTCCAGATCCAAGGATGCCACTCCCCATGCTTTTTATAGCCTGGCTTGGGCTCCCCTGAGGCCACTTCCATGCCAGGGCAGTGTGTCTGCTGTGAGGTTCTGCATTCCCAGGTGACTCCAGGTGTGAGTAGGCTTTGGTGGCAGCCGGGTGTGTGTGCAAGGGATGGCTGGCTAGCCTCCCTACTGGCAGGGCACAACATGACTCAGCTTGGAAGGGCTCTGTTCTGCAGTAGAGTCTGGGTCCCAAGCCTCCCAGGTCATGCCCAGCCTCACTGTCTAGCCCTGAGACCTGGCCAGCTCCCTTCTCTCCTGGGGATCTCTTGTGGCTCAGCATATGATGGAGTGGGGGCCTATCCTGTGCCTATCTCATCTTCTTTTGCTGGTCTGGGGTTTCAGAGATGAGGGTGAGCAGTTGAGGGGGGTTTGAGCTTGAGGGGTGGGAACCAGTGCCCTCTGATTGTCTGCCAGGAGCAGAGATGGAGCACAGGCAACAGGCTGGGCACCAGCTTTGTGTCTTAGGGGAGGGGGCTTGCTGCAGGGAAGTCTGGCTGTGAGCTGACTTGGGGCTGGGGTGGTTGCTGGCCTCATTGCCTCTGTGCTGAGAGGTGGAAGATGAGGAAGGAGGGGGACTGCAGGTCACCCCAAAACCTCGAGTTGCTCAGAGTCTTCCTGAGGGGTTCGTGGTAGTTTGGAGTGGGTTAAGGGAATGGGTCCCTCCAGTGTCTTGGGAGAATCTCCTTTCTGGGAGCCAGAAGAGCCAGTTCTTGTCTTGAATAGTGAAGAAAACTCTAGTCCACATTTTCCTAGGCCTGCTAGAAAGCTCACAGCAAATCTATTCAGCTCTGGACTTTTCTAATGTCATATGGGAACTGATCATCCTTATCTGTTCTAACTGTGACTATCTCTAGTTGATTTATGTGTAGCCAGCACACAATCTTTGCACGAGTCAGT